ATTTCTCGTTGTTCGCTTTGTGTTGCCGCAGTATTCGCCACAATATTATTGATAAAAAAGTGAAGTGAAAATAGCAAAATATGCGATTTAATATGAAATATCGTGTGGACTTTTTGAACAGTAATAGAATCTAATACTCATAAAAATACATTACATTATTTATGACGCATGTAATGTATTACTACCCAGTGAGAAAATGTAAGGGTTGACTAGTGTACATCGACATGTGTGTGTTTTAGCAAAACTATAATGAATTTTCTCATGAAACTTTACGAGGATGCTAAGAAACAGATATTTTTACATAAATTAAGTAATTTGTTGTTCACATTTTTTGCACTTCCATTAACAAATTTTCATATAAAAAGTGCAGCCAAAGAACGTCAACTTATATTTCATAATTACTTCCACAACATAAGGGTAGGTTTGAATATGCGCTTTTTAAATAACAACCTCTAAAAAAATTTCAATTATGGCCATCTTTTTTTAACAAAAATGTATGTTTTTCTTTGGAAATACATAATAACAATCCATATTTTTTGCATTTTTTATTAAACAGTATTAAAAAACCAAATATTTACGCCTGCGTCGATATTTTTTATAATATAAAATAATTAATAAAAGGAAAATTTGGAATAAAAAATCCCGCGATTTTTTATTAAAAATTTTCGGCTGTGGCTCTATTAAAAAAAAAAAAATTAAAAACCTAAAAAAATGGTAATCAGTAACCATAAAAGACAACATTGGGGCGGCAGCCCCAGGTTTACCACACACCTCATCCTTACGCTGGGGCGGTAGCCCCAGTTGGTGCACACCAAAAGGAGAATTCTATTTAGTTAGGGTTATAATCCTAAAGCGCGGCCGAAGGCCGCATACGGAGAAAGGAATTCGACGCAAAAATACTGTGGACGCAAGTAAAAATTTTGATGATAAATCGTCTGGCAGCACCAACTTCGGTGTTCAGTTGCAACCCTCGCATTTTTACTACTTCACTACTTTTATAAATGTTTTATCGTGGTTAAATTAACAAAAAAAAGCATACTACTTAAAAGAAAATGGTCATGTGCATTAAAAGTGCTTACATTTAAGTCACATTTATCTATTTCACGCACTTTTGGATGATAAATTCGTTGTAATTTGCATCAACATATTTGGTAAATTTCGCAACTTTAACAAAAAATTACTTAAGAACTATAAGTGGGCGCAGGTTGGGGTCTTCACGTTTAGAATCAAAAAATGAGCAGATCGAATTTCTCATTGTTATCATCCAATCGATCTTTCTTAGCGTCATTTTAGCTCACGTTTTTTTTTTTTGGCTCCCGCTGACCGTGTACTACCACACTCTGAACGCATAAAAAGTCAACCCAGATATATTACCTACTTCAACTTCTTGGAGAGTGCTCTTGAGTGATCCTATACGAGTGCAAGTACATAAATCAGTTGGCCTCAAGTGTTTTTAAATTAAAGCTTTTTAGGTTAATATCCTTTGAGATATCATTTATAATTAGCCTGTTCCCGTACTCCAGGATTTGGAGGATTTGCAGGATTTGCGTTTTTGAAGGATCTGGTATTTTCACATTTAATAAACCTTATATAAACGTGGCATACGGGAACTACTTTGGACTACACCTTTTCCAACAGTATTTCAGAAAAACAGAAATGTATTTCAGAAAAGGCCAAATGAATTTCAGAAAAACTCAAATGTATTTCAGAAAACCTCAAATGTATTTCAGAAAAGGGCAAATGTATTTCAGAAAAGCTCAAATGTATTTCAAAAAAGCTCAAATGTATTTCAGAAAAGGCAAAATGTATTTCAGAAAACGCCAAATGAAATTCAGAAAAACACAATTGTATTTCAGAAAAAATCAAATGATTCTCAGAAAAACGCAAATGTATTTCAGAAAAGGGCAAATGTATTTCAGAAAAGCATTAAATATGAGATCTATTTTTTTTTTGCATTTACAAAAATGTATAGTATACATATGTATAGCTTTTTTGAATGATGCCAACAGTACTGGTAATTACTCCCACGCCTGATTGGCTGCCAAATACAACGCAAATAGCGTTTGTACGTTCAGTATGTAATCCACTTGCGTTTCAGCGGGCCCCTCCACCTCGAAATGCTGGCACAACGTGCGCACATAATGCGCAATATCTCCATCTTCCAAGCAACGCTGATAAGCTTGCTGCACAGCACCACTTGCATCGGCATATGAGCGCGGCCAGTTGAGCAACAAAGGCTCGATCTCTTTCCGCGGCTGTACATCGTTCACCATTTGTGTCATATGCAACTTCTCAACCTCGTTGATCCACTTGTCAATTTCTTTCGACGATTTAGCTGTCGGAATCAGAGCAGCTGACGTGGTGCGCGCCTTAGCAACGCTTCCACTGAGCACCGAGCGCAATTTCATATTGAGCAAACTCGGTTCCGATTGATCACCCGAGGGCTCGTCGAGCACATAAAGACCCATTTTATACAAGAAATCATTGATTTCCTGCTTACGTTGGGGTTTCAGCAGTGGTGGTGTAGTGACTTTGAGAAATGCATCCACGTCGCCCACCGATGGCACAAAGTCCGGTATGAATGGTTGCAGATGATAAGGCGTGTCAATACACTGTGGCGTATATTTTAGTATATTCGGAAAGAGATCTTTTAGTTCTTGATGCACAGTTAATTTTTCCCATTGCTCTGGCTTGATGGAAAGTTGCACCTCTGGCGCAGATACGCGTGTGGCGTCACCTGTCTCTTCCATGGCCTCGAGATGCGGTTGCGGCGACACGGCCTCATCGGATTCACTTTCGGATGGCACAATCAGAGGTCCAGCGCGCGCTGGTGGTTTTGCTGCTGATAGAGACTTCGCTGCGCTGCGTATGCTGCCTGGGCGTGTCTGTGGGCGTTGATTGGCTGTGCCACCGGCTGCTTCGTTGGTTAGCTGTGCGTGTTGCATTTCGCTTACATCATCGTCGTCATCATCGTCTTCATCCTCGTCGTCGTGATCAATAATGTCCTGCAACAGGCCATCATCGTCAGTGGAACTGCCGTGCAACTGGAATAAGGAAGGTAAAAAAAAATCCATTTTATCAGATGATAAGCAGATGGAAGTGTAAAAAAGCTTACCACATTTCTTTGACGCAGAGTAGCAGCACGACTACTGGATGCGGCAGTTAAGCGTTGTGAATTTGCCATGCCAATATTGCGACCGCTGCTGGTGCTTGGCATTCGATCCATTCTAAAGTGATTTAGGTTCTTCGTGTCGGCTCCGTTTATAGTGATTTCTTCGTCGTAATAATTCATTTCGCGATAACTGTGTGAACTTGTAACAGTTGGGACAGCTAATGAACTGCTGACCCCAGTTATTATGCGTGCGATGAGGGTAAAGCTGCTTCCAATAACTTGTCAACTATGCACTGACGTATTTTGACCAACTGATCTTGAGCTATTTTCCTGTAATTTTAGCTATTTAGAAATCTCACGCTGCTGCACTTTTGGGTGGTTTTGGGTCTGTTTACTTGTTTGTTTGCACCGGTTAAGAATGCATGGTTGTCCAGGCAACTCGATGTGTGTACATATGTATGTATGTATGCATTGATACGTTACTTAATGCATACATATGTGTGTGTGTGATTTAATGGAAAGGCAGCACATCCGCTTAGAGTGTCGTGTATCCGTTTTCGCAACCAGCAGCTGGCAATGCTGTACACTTCGAAACCCACGCTGTTGCCAGATGGTTGAAATGTTTTGTTTTTCAAAGAGCGTAAACCATAGAACGTAAAGCTATAGAACGGAGATAATTAACGTCACAAAAATAAACGGAGAAAAAATTCTTAAATCATAGTTAGTTGTTCTAGACTTAACTAAACTTACGGTCAGAAATCGCCAATGTGAGTATTCATGCCAACTTAAGGCAGATGCGAAAATAAATTTTTTTAATTCATCATCTTTTTCAGCCTATCAAAAAAAATCATGCAAAAAAAATTGTTTGTCATAAATTATTTTTTTTTGGAACTACAGAAAAGAAAATCTGGTAAGCCTGATTCTCTCACCGCTCTCAATTTATGCAAGGCCGCAATCTAAAATCTACATGTTCTCAGGGCGCATTAAATATGCCTTGCATATTCTTAAGTTTCTTATGGAAAGTTAAGTTTTCACTAACCACCAACATATAACAGGTTGTTCCTCATATAACAGGTTGTGCGAAAATATTAAGTTAAGTAAAATTACGAAAATTAAGTCTAGACTAACAGAGCTTTTATTTTCAATTTAGCCAGTTTTTCCTTCCTAAAGATTTACGTTCTTCGTTTTACATTTTTTTTAAGTTTGGCTGGCAACACTGCAATCAACTTGTTTTCAACGCTATTCCAATAGCAACGATTGTACAGTGGTTTTATTGTGCTTTGTTGCTTTCGATACGTCGGACGTGGGTTTGTTTGGCTTTATGTGAAGGAGAGCTTGTTTTGAATTTCGAGTTGTGTTGTGCAGCGTACGCTAAAAAAATTAACTTATCGAGCGGCCATATAACATTTCGCTGTGTTAATAAGATAAGCATATTTTGCCTGTTAGATGCGATCCGACGAGTAAACTTCCACTTACATTAGTAGATATTTTTTATCTACTTACAATTAACGCCTATGAGTGTAAATACTATAAATTGGCCAAAAGCTAATTTTAATTATTGCTAATTACGATTATTCGTGTATTTATCCACTAAGTGGCGATTATGAGCATGGAATTACAATATTATTTTTTCCGCGAGTTTTTAAAACAAAATACCGCCATTAAAAGTGTTGGTAATAAAGAAGCAAACAACTAACGAAAATTAAATGCAAATTGCGATATAGTATTCAGTGCGAGTACTACAACAAAGAATAGTGTTTTTAAAATTAATTGAAATATTTAAAAGGCAGACGGTGTCGCTCCAAAGTAAAATTGTTCTTCAACTTAATTAGACGAAGTGAATTAATTGCTGCCATCCGAAACGCGCCACGTCTGCGACAACACTTTGATATTAGTGAATTAGCAAGCAGCAAAAACATATGCATTTGTTGTTTTTATGAAGATGTTGTAGGTGAGCGAACTTTTTACAGCAGTCGCCACCCGAAACGATTATTTTACCAGGACGTTGGCGTTGAGCGTTGTTGTATTGAATAGAAAATTGCAGGGGAAGACAGACAGACACACCGGCATTTGCAAGTTTCATTGACAAAAGCAACAAAGTGTGAAAAGTGCAAAGGCAAAAGCAAACTCAAAAGGTGGGTAAATCAAAAGCACAACGACATCCTTCGTGTTACCAAACAAAAAAGTGTTTTTATATGTATGTAGTTTTTAAATGGATTTATTTAGTACAAATCGTCGTTTAAAGTACAAAACCGCGTATCGTCATTCTGCAAAACCGCGTAACTGGCATTAGCTGCCAAAAATTGGATTTGCTCACACAAGCTCTTGGCTCAATCCTTATCCATTCGTCCTGAAATATAACTAGCCAGAAATGCGATTGCTTTATAAAAAAAGAACCATTTTGAAATATGAGTGTTTTTACTCTCTAGAAAAAAATTTATGTAACCTCACATACGTGGTTTTGTATTTTGCTGATACGCGGTTTTGTACTTTAAACGACGATATGTATTTCGTTGTATGTGTTTACTAGTGTACATACATATGTATGTGTGCAAACGAAACGGATTACTATACCCAACTCAATTTATGAAAATAGGACAGGGCGTGGAAGTGATAAGAAAAAGTGTTAAGGGAAGTAATGGCATGCAAATCCCGTTTACTGGCCAGCAGTTCAAATTTGAAGTTAATAAATGTGTTGAGGCATTGGAAGTGACCAACAGCCAAGGGTTAACAAATTAAAAGTTTTCTAACTTCTGATTACATTGTGTTATCTTGTTTCAGCCGCCAAAATTGCTTTTGTCACTTTACTGCGGTTTTTTAATGTCGAATAATTCAACAAACGCTAAACCCATTTAAATGAAACCGGGTGGAAAATGTAATGTAATGTTCGTTTAGAAAAGGATAAAGGTTCTCGTTTATATTCAATGAAAGGAGAATTTGCCAAGTCCAAAAGAAGCTACGAAAATTCGATGGGGCCAAAATATTACGAAATCTTTAATAATAAAGATCGAATCCCTCTGATTCGTATGGAGGTTTGCTTTGCTTTAACCGGGCAGAATGGTGTATTCAAAGTTTTGCGAAACACTTAAAGAAAATGGCTATAAAAAGTTTTTTCCTCTCCTGTAAAATTTTTAAATTTGGACTTAGCAACTTTTCACTCTAAGCTAGAATTTATGTCATACTAATAACAATAGATTGGAACTTTAGACTTTCGGATTGAAGTAAGGGATTGCAATATTATTGTCATCATCACCTTTAAAGATTTGATGTGTATTAGATCTACGGAATGCCATACAGTTGGAATTTATCATAAATCAACAATATTTAATCAAATTTTCATGACCCTTGTAACGCAATGTAACCGAAATTACACAGACGTAATTTTTGTTCCTAAATGTGTCGAATACTTTGAATTGCTTTACCAGTTTAATTAAATTATAAAAAGCCACGAATTTAGCTTTGCTAAAATATGTATTAAAAAGTATGCGGATTTTTGTGTGTGTTTATTTTTAAATGTACGTGGGCAATAGTTTTCACCGGTTGATCTACAATTGAACTTGCAGTAATACCTTCGAAGCCCTTATCACGAATTTAAGGAAAAACAGCTTCGGTTGTGTAAAACGTTTTGTATCGGTGCTCTCTTCTTCTTCTTTTGGGCGAGTCCAACAGGACCCGCCAGTCGTTTCTCTTCTGTGCCAACTGGCGCTAATTGGAAGCCAAATCCTCTTCACCTGGTCTTCGGCATCGCGAATGGACCCAACAATTCTATAATTATTTTGGGCATTCTAAGAGAGTTTGTAATGTATCTGTTACATTGTGCTATACAGAGTTAAAATTGTATCCTTGAGTATCGTTGATAATTTTCAATATTTATACTTGAAAAATTATATGTATGTATACTAAAGACTAATACTATATACACAATCATATCCTCAAATTTCGTCCTCCGAACTTTATTAGCTTAACAACTAAAATTAATTAAAAAGACTTTTTCAATACCTATTCGTCCTTGTAAACTAAACACATTAGCGCACACAAGGGGTGGGTTTTGAGGTTCAAACCCCCCCTAAAGCTAATAACCTCAAATACAAACTGTATCTTAAAGCTAAGAATCCAGCTCTCAAGGAAATTATAAGAAATATTTATTATAATTTCTGATGCGTGAAAAAGCGCTTTGCTTTTGCTGTAAATTTTCATGAGGAAATGAATATACGAGCATTTTTTTCTTGAGAGCTGCAAACTGATTTAAGAAATTTTGGTAGAAGAAAATTTCCTTTTCTTTCTTGAGAGTTCAGTTAATTTTTTCGGTATTCGAAATATTAAAAAAAAATTAGAAATCGTGAAAAATCACCATCTCTATCGAAAGCCAGAAACCAGAAATCGAAAAAAGGAACATAAAAGTGCAAAAATTCATGGAATCAATAAATTTATTTTTACTGAGTCTTATTTACAATTTTTTCTTAGGTACTTTTGAAAGTTGAGCGCATCTTGAGTTTATAGCACTTTTTATTAAACCAGTAGTTTTTAAGGAAAGAACACAACGGGCTTCAATTCTTATATTCAAATTTAGGGGTACCGTTAATTTCTTCATGATCCAATCATCGGATCTCTAAACCAAATTACGGGACGAACCTTGAGGTACCATCTTTCTACAAAAAAATGATTATTGAATTGGTCCAAAGTTACGTATTCCGGCGAATTGATAACCTCCCCTTTTTTTAAAGTCGGTTAAAAGTGTTTGAGTTATTTTAATCTTATGTAAATAAAGTGCAGTTTATGAATTTTAAAACGTTTATTTATTTATTACGTACTGTACATAAAACTTGTATAAATGTATTTTAAAGAGCGTATTATCTGAAGAAAATTTTCAGTATTTTCCGGTGATATATCTTCAGAAATATAAAACCATCCTAAAATATATTCCTGGGTGCGCCCCTGTCTAAACAAATTAATTTTTTTTGAGTTCTACAGAATTTTCTCTTCCGCGTGGTACCCATTTTGTTATTCTACATTCTACTGAATTTTTTAAATAATTTTGTGAAATAACCACCTCATTGACATTTCAAAGTGATTTTAAAATAATTCCATCGTCAGAGAGAAAAACTAAAAGCGAAGTTTTAGATACTATATTTGGCCTTTAATTTTATAAGAATATTGATGTTTTGGTTTTTGTCGCACGGTGTTATGCAATATTTTTTTTTGTATTTCTTCTTCTTATTTTGCACTACACTGTTTGTAAGTCTGGGTCGAGAACATAAAACTTCGCCAATTGTGCCTCTGCTTTGCAAAGTTGCGCCAATTGTGCATTCCGAGTGACGATATGTATGTCCTCAGCACTTGGTCTTTCCTTTGGATTCCTTGATCGAAGATGCTTTTCACCAGAGCATTAGCATCCATGCATACGACATGTCCAAGCCAGCGTAATCGGCGTATTTTTATGTCTTTAATTACATACATACGTATGTTCATGTTATTGCGAGTATTAAGCTCATATAATACCGAAGTGAACATACTTACAAATCAAATAAAAATGTTTCTACATACACATATAATTTGTATGTACAATGGGTTTTCATATGTGTTTACGTAAGTGATTAATCACTTACGATGTTTTTTTAAATCAATTCTATATTTTTATATACCTCATACGCCCGTGCGCCGGAAATCTGTTAGATATCCGTCAGACTCGTCGGCAATAAAGTCAGAAATATGTATGATTTTGGCCGATATCGTTCAGAGAAGCGTATGGGGAGGTTGACAGGAAGCCTAACCGACACGACGTGGGAAATTCTGACTTAATTACCGGCGATTCTGACGGATATCTAACAGATGTCTGACCAAATAATCATGGAAAATAAGAATTATCAGACATGTATGCCCGAAATCGGACATAATTCGATCAGACATATCGGATAAGGAAATAAATAAAATTCTCCAGACATTTCGCCCAGAAATCTGTACGAAACCTGTAAGACTTGTCTAAATAGTCAACTTTTTATTCCGACTTGTCTGATATCAAAAATTGTCTGGCAAATGTGCTAGCTGGGTTTCCAGTGAATCAACTTTATATATGTACTCTGTACATGTACATTTGTATATACATATATAGTATTTTTGCGTTCGCATAATTATTACGGGCCTTATTCTGTATCACGAACGATAGGCAAAACGAACGATTCGTCTGCAGACGACAACCTCTCTGATTGCGATTTTAAACTCTATCGGTCGCCTTCGTCTTGCTTTTCATACATTACGTTGCAATGGTCTCGGTTGCGCGTAAACCGGCTAAAATGATGCCGCCGGACAAATTTTTGAAGCATTCCTCTGCAGACGAATCGTTCGTGTTGCCTATCGTTCGTGATACAGAATAAGGCTGTAAATTTCAATGCTCTTTTCGCTGCATTGCATTTATTATCTACAATACAAATATTTACAAGCAAATATAGAAACATCCAGCGCGCCTTATCAACCTTTACTTTGAATTAAGAAAATTTTGGGTGCTTTTGAGCGTAGCATCCAGCCAAAGCTTATCTAGCACGAGTGTGACCATATAATCACACAAACAATTGATCGTGGAAAATTGATCGTCAGAAAAAATTATATCCTGAGAAAAATGAAGTTGAAAAGCTGTCAGTATATTCACTCATAATAAAAATAATTAATACATTTACATAAAATAACTTCTACCAGGCTAATAACGGCCGCACAAGTTCGAGGTATACAAAAAGAAGTTCATTTACGGATAAGAAAAATTGCAAAAATTTTCTGATTTGAAATATGAAAATATGATTACATGGATCATCAGACTAAAGAAAAAATAAATCACAAAAAGCAGCACGTCAACAAATCACTTTGTGAAAAAATTTCATTCTACAGCTTAGTATCCAGGCTCTTAAGAAAACGGTAAAGAAAAATTTTCTATTACTGCGTGATTGAGCCAAAGGAATTTTGCCAGCTTTCCTCGCGAAATAA